AAAACAATCTGGGAGACAGAACACGCCCAACCACACTCAAACCCTTAAGACACACCGGAGGTTCTCCCTGTTAATCTTCAAGGTACAGAGCAAATGTCTTTCAGCAGCTGCTGGAAACAGTGAAAGAGCTTAGGAGTCACATTTGGCATGTTACTCTGTGTGTGCATGTGTGTGAGATAAAGAGAGGGAAGGAGGAAGGTGGTCTCTGTGTGCAATCTACAATGTGGGCATTTTAGGTTCTTCAGCTGTGCAGCCTCCAGGCTCTGAGGAGAAAACGCTGATTATAAAGTCAAGGTGGTAAAATTAGGAACAGAAAACCACTTGCTGCACATGGCTCATCATAAATACCTATACCAACAACTGTACAGAAAGGGAAAAGCAGGCATATACACGCACACCAATAAAAACACTGTAACTGACAGTTTCAGTATAATTGGTAACCGGGTGAATTTTATAGTTGTCTTCTGCCAGTCAATGAGATCTGTTGCATGAAAATGCAACAGCATCTTTTTTTCTTTGTAGTCTTATCCTTTCTGCTCTGCTTATATAACCTATATAAATCTTTGACTGTCAGATTCATGGAACTGACTTTCACTGCAGATGATCTGAGCACGGGGCCAAGGAGACAATTTCGAGGTGTGTAATGCAAAGCAGGAGGGAAACTGCAAAAGAATGCAAAGATGTGAGTAAGAAAAACAATGAGGCAAAAGACAGAGGAAAACACACAATGAAGATGAGGACAGAAAAAAAGATGCCAGCATTGAGAAGAAAAGGAAGAACAGTAGCTGACCATGAGAATAATTGGATAAACAAGTAAAGGGAGGAGGATAACAGAGATGGTTGGGAAGGGTGAGGGGCTCACAGGAAAACTGAGAGAAGCACATTCCTTTTCCCTCTTCTTCCCTTCAAAACAGCAGCTGGGACAGGTGTGCTTTTACTGATGGCAGAAAGTGCACAAGCTGCTGACTACCTCCCAGTGTGCTGTGTGTATGCCTTGTGTGTGTGTGTGTGTGTTTATATGCTGAGTGTGCACACTGTTTGGCTGCTGACTGCATGTTAGCAAAGACTTTGTTGTGTGTAATTACGGGGGAAACAAAACCCACGGATCAAAATTTGCCCGTAACGACAAAAATAGACATCTGAATGCACACATGGTGTTTGCGAAGGAGAGGCTGTGGGAGTGTCTGTGTAAGACACAACATGCTGTAGTTGCTGTATATACAATGCGTATACACCTATGTTTAAAAGGACATGGGCAAAAGTACAAGAGTCAGCTTGTGTGCGTTGTTTAAGGAGACAGTCTCTGTGACAGGAAACAGAGGGATCCTGTTTGTGAGTCGTACTCATTGTTCAGCTCCTCACCCCCTCCTCATCAACGCTACTACACCACACACACAAACGCGCTCATGTACACAAGATAGAGCTCATTTTACTACTTGGCTGCCGACCAAAGACGTGTACTCATCAGCGTGAGGTCTGTGTTTTGATTTCCTGCCTCGCACTTAACACGTTGTCTCTTCACAACACAGCCACGGTTTCTAATTAGGGGTGTGTCTGGCCAGTCTGACTCCAACCATTGTTTTCTTCGTCTTATTGATGTCTATCCGTTTTATACAGAAGCATGATTCCAGCTTCCAGTATTGCCTTGTCTTCTCCACGACTCATCATTTACTGTTTCTCAAGATACCCCTTCTTCCCTTTCAGCCTTCATGACTAATTTCTACTCACAAAACTCCGACTTATTGTTCAACTCTGAGTCACTCGTCTGCAATATCCTGTCACAGGTTTCCTTTAAAATAATGTTTTTATAATTTACCACACAAGTAAAAAGCTCTAACAGCTTGACTTTAGGGATGGCAACGAAGGGATTGCTTTAAACAGATCAATTATACATCATCATACACTCAAGATTCCCAGTGGATGAACTTGGTTTATCCTTTGGCATGTTTTGGACACACAAACTGTTTTATATACCTTCTGCATGTTGAAGGTTTTCTTTGTCCACCTTGGACAGGACTGGAAACCACTGTAGATCTGAAAGGTTTCACAGCATAAGATGAATTTGAGTGACTTTAAGATTTGTTGAGCTTTAAGTGTTCGTTGTTTGATTGCCTACACAGAAGACGGACGGAGTCAACGTGTCGTCAACCAGTAGATGTATATTTATTAATTCACAGTCATATTTTAGGGGCTCATTATTGGTGTTTAGGCTGCTGCTACAAATGCCACTAAGCTTGGTCATCAAACATTATGGGTTTAATGTACAGCTAATGTAAAATTCTACTCAGCATAACTGACGCTCAAACTGTTTTTAGACTGTTAAAGGCAAGAACAGCACAGACAGGATGAAGAAATCTAGTTAGTGATAGTGGGGCCTAGCACACTTGATTTGGTTACACCACCTCAGAGCTGTTATAAAGTGAGAGAAAATCTAACAAGGACTTTTTTAATACTGTAAACTTGTATATTTTAACATGTATTTACATTCATGGAATTGCTACATATTGAAGATAACTTTTTTAAAGTTTATTGGACTGCAATGAAATGAAAAAAAAAAAAAAAGCATAGTTCCACCAAATCTACAAGATGTTCGTTCTCGTTTACGTGAACGTTATGTGTTTCTTTAAAGGCCTAAGATGTTTCTAAGTTACAAATCTTGCATAGATTATTATGCTATTTTAATATAAATAAAAACAAATAAGTCAAATGTTTTTGTCTCCTAAAGAGATTTGTGCCTAAAGTAATGAACACTCGAATCACACTGTTGTGAGATCCTGGTTCCAGATTCACTTTTGACTTCTAGAGCTAAGCATGGACAAGCATCAGTTTACATCAGTGAACTTTTACATCAATGCACTCAAAGCAGATCCCTGAGGTCATGTGATCAGGACCTGCTGGCTGTGCAAAATACAAGGCTGAGGATGAAAGGAGACTTTTTTTCTGTCTTTATTTTAGCATTTCATTGTAAAGCACTGGAATATTATTTTTATCTTGAATAAAATTGTATTTACTTTATTTACTTAATTGTTCCTGACCACAGGTTAAATTACTTATCATGATAAAGCATTTATTTAAGAGCTTCTTAGCGAGCAGTGAGGGGGCGTTATGTATCAGGTCATTTCTGCAACAGTCACATGACTGAGCATTTAGCCAAATGTACAGATGTGAGAAAATAGGGAGGTTATTAACTTCACCTTCAACCTGTTTTCTTATTCTCTACAAAACTAATTCTGCCACCTTTTGCATGTACAATCAATAACAGCACCATGAATGTTTTGGAGAGACTGTCTGAGAATGTGTGCTGTTATCTCTAGTTGTGTATCGATTGCATTAGGGAAACAAAAACAAGAAAAACTGAATTCCTAGATAGAGATCCGACAGACAATACGATACAAAGGCCAAATTGATTCATAAAGGTCAAAACTGGACTTAAAAAAAAGGAAATCAGAGCGCTGATGGAGGGGTAAAGACACTCTATGCACATGTCCTTGTTGTGTCTCTCCATGAAATACTAGCAAACAATACTTAAAGAACTGTGCTACATAATTACAACCTATTAGAAGCAAAACCTAAATTTATCCGTGAAATTCCTTTATTCTTTTCCCACGCTTTACTACCTCCATCTCATTTATACATCCTTTCTTGTTGCTTTTTCACCTGCTGCTTATATTTCCCCCACGTTTCTTTCAAGTATACCTCATTTATCTCCCACCTCCAGTCTTCTCTTTGCCTCTACATAACACTCAGCTTCCAACACAATACTGTCTTGTTGTTGTGCATGTGTGTTCTCTGTCAGGAGCAAGCTCTTTGAGCTCAGGAAGAGCGGTCCAAGTAGCATTCGCGCGCACACACACATACACACACACTGAGGATGAGAATCTCTGCCATAGCCTTTCCCACCGCTGCCCTCACTAAATCAACAGGCTCACACAAACAAGCTCATTCGCACTGCTGCACCATCAAACAGGCTTTTGTCTCTCCTGCACTGCCACTCCAATCATACACACTTACCTCGTCACATGCATGAAAGCTCGTTACTGAACCCAAAACAAAACCTCCAAACTAAAGCACAAATTCCTCTATTTCAAAGGGGTCAAGTACAGCCTCAGCAAGGAGAAAAAAAACAGCAGACAGTGACAGTTACGGTAAAAAATTTTTATTGATATGGCACCTTTCATTATTTAATGATAAAACACATTGTTTGTCCAGCAGAAAATGGACATAAATTTCTTCCTTTACAATATTTTCCCTTTTTTTAATATAACTGTAACAAACTGCATGTGCTGTTATATATCCATTCGGGCTTTCAGGGAAGCTGGAGACTGTCATATGTGAGAGATGAGGTACACCCTGAAGAGGTCGCCAGTCTATCGCAGGGAAAAAGCTTAATTTATACTTCAGAGTCTAAAACATAAAACAGCATAGCCTAAGCAATTGGCTAACGCTGCTGTTAGCATTCGTACTTCTGTGTAGTGTGCCCGCAGAAGTCTGCAATTTCACCTCCAAGACACTAGTTGGCAGTAAACTTTTCGTTTTGAGCTTATCCATTCTCTTCCAGTTGGTTCAATAATTGGCATCACATTTTACATTACATTTCTAGGGAGGTGCACATTGGTTAGGGTGCAGGGTTTAAGAAGAGTTTGTGATTATGACGTTATGGAGTAGATTTAAATCAGAGGTATAAATCCCACTAAACATTCACACCTATCGCCAATTTAGAATCCCCAGTTAAACAAATGAGTGCATCTCTGGACTGTGGAAGGAAACAGGCCAGAGCACCCAAAGATCAACTCCACAAGAAAGGCCCCAGCTTGCCAGTGCATCCAAACCAGCAGCTCTCTGCTGTGAGGCAACAGTGCTAACCACTGTACAATATATACGTTTTTAACCTCTAAAAATTCACATAAATCTTTAATGGCAAACATTACCTAAAAGAAGGCACTTAGAGACACTTAGAGACACAGAGAGAGACACGTAGTAACATGTGTCTCTCTACAACGATCCGCAGAACAGTAACAGTTGAATCATATTAAAGACATCGTGAAATTTACTCTCAGCTGAGTAAAAGTCCACATTATTCTTCCCCCCCAAAAAGTAAACAAAACACTTTACACGTCGAGTCACTCACTGAGTTTGTTCCAACATGTAACTCTAAAGCTTTGTTGCCAACCGTCCATCCGTGAAGATGAATTTTTCAACTGTCAACATCATATGTGCACGGGTTTGTAGGAAGGCGAACCTTGATTGACTGACGCAAATTTCCAAAATAGATAAAATCTGATGAGGCTAGTGAAAATACCCGGTGTGTTTGGAACCTGGAAAACAAGCAAAACAAGGAAGAAGAAGAAAAAAAAAAACATGTTATCGCTTCAATCCTCACACAACACTGACAGCTGAGCTTACAGGTATGCAAGTGCGTATTCATGATGTCTTACCACAATATAGTAGTCGCTCAGCTGAAGGCCGTAGAAGACCCAGGAGGTTGAAGTGAAGAAGGTGGCTACAGTCAGAGGGAAGGACAAGCACTGCACATTACCACTACGCACGATCTCTACCTGCAAAGGCAGAGAGGAGGAGGGATGCCATTAACATACACTTCAAAGCTGGATTATTACAGTTTTTAATATTTACAAGGGATCGAATTACCAACTGCTACATGAAAGGTGCCTTCAGTGATGACCCCTGAGAGAGAGAATTACTCTATTCAAATATCAACATACCAGCATGCCTCTTCAGAAGTGCTCTCTATAGACGTTCCCACAGCTACATTGTCACACACTTCCAATGCCGGAAGGAGTAAGTGTGCACTGCTTTGCCCACATTTTAACTATTGTGTCTTGCGCCACTTTATGACTGGCAGACTCTTCATGCTGCTTTTAAAAGGGCCATTTGGAAGTGATATAAACACTGGGTACTTCTAAAGTGGTCAGATGACACACTGTACTCCATTTTATTTGAAGGTACTGAAACCCAAAAGAGAACTTAACTAAAGTGTTGATAACTCAGGGCAAAGGAAACCTATGAGTGTTTTAAATTAAGAGCTTAGGCAGTAAATTTACATTTATAGTTTTGTTTTACTTTCACAATATATTTAGTTGTCCTCTGGGTTAGTTTAAAGTATACATTATCTGGCTGCTTGTAGGAGTTTTTTTTTTAAATTCAATTTTGGCTTAGAAATTTCACCACATTCCCAACCTGTAATTTAAAAAAACAAAAATGATCTTTAAGCAGGCAGCTTTGGATTTTAAGTCATTTGTGCAGTGCCTACATCATTTTATATATGCATATATAGCAGAAAACATAATGGAACCAAAGGGCCAGGGAACACACAAGACAGAAACTGGGAATAACAGGAAGACAGATGAGGGAAAGAAAGGCAGGAAGCTGACTGGGGGTCATTCGGTGCTGTGAGGCAGATGGAGGGAAGGAGACGAACAGGATAGAAGACGGAACCAGAAGATCAAATACAGTGACAAAAGGAAAGAGCGAGAACAGGGGATTTATCCCTTCACTGCATAGCTGCACATGCAGACTGAGATGATGTGAGCAGACGAATTAAAGTGAGCAGCAGCTGCCGGTGCAGTGGGTTCAACGAGGAACACGTTCAGGAAATGAGAAGATATGAGGTTCCTATTGTAGATACTAAACACAATCAGTGTTATCATGAATACAGTGAGGGTACTATGAACTGTAATGCATGTACACAATCACCTGCCACTATATTAGATACATCTATATAAATGCTTATTAACGCAAACATCTAACCAACCAATCATATCGTAGCAACTCGGTGTATTTACCCACGCAGACATTATCAACATGACTGCTGAAGTTCAAACTGAGCATCACAGTGGGGAAGAAAGGTGATTTAAGTGACTTTGAATATGGCATGGTTGTTGGTGCCAGACAGGGTGGTCTGAATATTTCAGACTCTGCTGATCTTCTTGGATTTTCCCAAACAACCATCTCTAAGGCTTGAATGGTATGAGAAAGAAAATTCCCGCTGACTGGATATTTTCTCTGAGTGCCTTGTTGATGTCAGGAGAATGGACAGACTGATTTGGGCTGATAAGAAGGAAACACCCATTACAACCAAGGCACGCAGAAGAATATCTTTAAATGTAAAACATGTCGAACCTTATGTCAAAGGTTCAAGCTGGTGGGGGTATAACAGTGTAGGGGAGACTTTCTTGTACCCTCTGGCCACCTTGGAATCAATTAAGGATTTAATCGCCACAGCCTGCCTGAGTATTGTTGCTGACCACCTTTATGATCACAGTGTGCCCATGGCTGCTTCCAGCAGTATAACACCCCATGCCACAAAGTTTAAATCATCTCAAATTGCTTTCTTAAAGATGACAATGAGTTCACTGTACTCACAGTCACCAGATCTCAAACCAATAGTACATCACAGATGTGAAACCAACAAATCTGCAGCAACTGTGTGATGCTAACATGTCAATATGAAGAAAGATCTCAGAGGAGTATTTCCAGCACCCTGTTGAATCTATACCATGAAGAATTAAGGCAGTTCTAAAGGGAAAAGTAGGACTTATTAGCAAGGGGTACCTCATAAATTGTCCAGTAAGTCTATATTGCAAAAAGGTTTACCCAAACAAAAATCTTCCTAGTAGCAGCCATTAGTTCAACTGATTATTTAACTCGCTGCTGCAAGGTTAGGTTCTATAGAATCTTTTAAATAAATGTTTGAAGTGACTCACAAATAATTTGAGTTCAAAGAATAAGAAACAATGTAACACTATTAATGCTGTGCTACATTACAGAAAAATATGACCACACTAACAAGCCTATAATATATGAATTGTACAAGGGCAAGCACTGTGTGGGCTGCCTGTTAATGGAAAAAGCAATAATGATTCTGAATGAGCGTCAACAACCAGCAAGGAGTCCGCTACTAGTGGAGTTTCAAGTTTCAAATCGCCTCTGTCAGTGCGCCCCAGGGCAGCTGTGGCTACAATGTAGCTTGCCATCGCCAGTGTGTGAATGTGTGTGTGAATGGGTGGATGACTGAATGTAGTGTAAAGCGCTTTGGGGTCCTATGGACTAGAAAAGCGCTATACAAATGCAGGCCATTTACCATTTTACCATATACTATGCTGTTTGAGGTTGGCACGTAGTAGAGGAGTATTTGCTTCGTGGGGCTGTTCTTTACCCTCTCAACCCTTTAGATTTCCTGCCTGACATTTCTAATCTATTAACTGCAGGCACAAGACATGAAACTGACACTGTCCATGTGCGAGCGAGTGTCGTCATTCTGAGTTCACTGTGGAGGTCGACCGACCAATCAAACACTTCGTTGATTACGACACTTTTCATCTACTAACTTTTAGTTGAGGGGGGAGGTGTGCAGTAAAGCGCACACAATATATGCATTTAAAGATCTACTTTTCTGATGCCTCTGGTTGAAGGAAAGTCCTTTTGAATCCAACCACCTGTCAAATGACTGTTTTTAGTGTAACACCCAATTGTTGAGATGTTCTCATGTAGCACAGGAACGTCTGGACTTATGTGCAAATGTTCTTCAGTAGTTTGGATAGAGATATTGTTGTTTCTCTGAACGAGAATTATTATAATAGCTGTGGCACACCACATGGCTCGATCCTGGGACTAACCTTCTTTAGCCTTTAAATGCTGCCCCTTGGGTGTATCATCAGGAGACACGGCACCAGTTTTTAGATAAGTGTTCATCGTAATCTGCTATGTTGTATCATAATACAAGTCTTACTGATGCCCCCACTGAGGCTTTGATGGCTTAGCTCTTTCATGTGTTAGCCAAATGTGTTAATAATGACACCACAGAGACACTTCTTCACTGTTGTAAATATTGAGTTTGATTTAGGGTACTGCCTGGGTAGAGTGTGCAGAAGGCAGAGCACATGACACTGACTCTCATATCAGTGAAAACAGATGTTACGTGGACTTTGATCCTGGCAGATTAAATACTGTTTAACACCTGATCAGACTCTGCTGGGTTTTGCATTATCACAAGAACCTCCTTTGGGTAAGTTCTAAGAAACTTACCCAAAGGAGTAAGTTTGGGTAAGTTTACGATCTTACACATATGCCGATGTGTAAGATCGGCATATGTAAATCTTTTAAGACTCATAGCCAGTCCCATTTCTGGGCTCCTCGAGGACCTCAGAGTTTGTGGGGAGATTAAAAAAAAATTTACTTTACAAAATGACTTTTGCCCCCAGTGGCTGACTTTATATAGTGCAGAGGAAGGGAATTAATTTTCCCAACAGAAACTGGGACTGTTTTTGAGGGGTCCAAAATTTGAACTCAATACTAATTGTATATCTTTATAAGCTTATTGGTGCAGCCCTATACAGCAGTCCCAGTTTCTCATATGGCTTTTAGCAAAAATTAATTTCCCCCCAATCTAGTGTTTTTATTATGTCCTGAAAAATTTAATTAATGGATATGAGAATTACCGTATGTAGTAACATATAGGACAGGCTAAACTGGAAAGGATGGAAAAACAAAACAAAACAAAAGTGAAAACAAAACCAACATTTACCAGCTAAGCCCATCACCATTTACTGGAAATGAAGCAGCAAACTGCAAACTGACTTCATTAACTGAACAAAAATAGTATCCGTTTGGTATGCTATTAATTATCCCCATATGCACACTAGTTTTTATAAATATTTTTGGCAAGTCATTTTCTGATTCTACTTCATTTGAAAAACGCTGAGGTTTCACACTAAGCTCTGGATGGCTTTACTTTGGCCTGTAGTAACACTGTGAGGAATCTTAGAGTCATTTCTTACCAGGACATTGCCTTCAACCGTGCACATTAAACAAATACCATGTACGTTAAACAAATAACATTGCTTTCTTTAGTCTTTGCAATATTGCTATGAGTAAAATGAAAAATGTTATATGTTTTTCAGCGGCTCCGTGTTGAATCCAAAGTTTAATTAAAATGCCATCTCCTCATGTGAAAGTTCTAAATGATCAAGCCTCATCATATCTTCCTCACAGACTGCTAGCTTACTTGTGGTTCCTGGGGCATTTTTTAAATACTTTTTTTGGCCTTCTTCAGTGCAGTGAAGAAAGGACAGCGAGAAG